CCAGAGCGCAACTCCCAGCACGGGGTGGCGTCGAGGGAAGTCGAATAGGAGTGGAACTAATTTGAGGCGCCTCTTTCTTGTCCCCTAGGGGCACCCCCAACCTCATTGCAGCATCCTCTACTTCTTTGGGAACCACCTCGACTCCTACCACGTCCTCTTCGCCCTCCACCACCTCGTCCTCCACCTCGTCCTTCACCTCCTCCCCCACATTCACTTCCCCAAACAATGCCTCTACCTCTTGCTCCTTGGCTCCAATGCTCCCTGCTTCGGCCCCACACTCCCTTATCTTGGATCATCGCTCCAAGACCTCATCCACCCATCACCAATCCATTGGACCAAGCACCCTATCTTTCATCCCACGCCGCACTCGAGTTACCTTGCGTACGCGTGTTTGCCACTCCCTGACAACCCTCTCCACCGCGTGATTCCAATAAAATACATTCAACACCATTCGAGCTTCCATACTGCCAAGAAACACTATACGTTTCGGCGCGTACTTCGTGATCAACGAGTGAAATGACTCATTCAGCCAGATTGATGCCCCTAAAACATAGGGTGCTATGGGACCTGGGCCACAATTGACCGACAGCCACTCCTTGAACGCCAAGTAAGTCGCCAAACCCGGTTCATACAGCGCACTTTCCTCCCCCCAGTGTTCCCTAACACAACGTGGGACCACGCCATCTCGCTGACAACCAATGTGTACGCCTGCCCAATCTCTACTGCCCACCACCTACTGATCCCGCCCCATCTCTAGACTTGACTCCACTTCGCCTGAATGTGCCCAAGAAAATGTGCAACGCATTAGGGATGACGTTATATTGCATCTGCTTAATGGAAGCTTAGATAATTTTGGAATTCAAACTTACCACGAGTCACCATCGCGATGTCTCCTAGGTGGAACTCGGCCGACTCCCTGATGAAATTGTGGGTGATGTCGTACTGGGCGGCATGCGTGGGATGTGGATCAAAATCAAATGGTGTGTCAACATCGACCCACTTGATCCCCGGAATCCGAAAAAACCCATCTGCTTCCCCACCCAAAGCACCGACATCATAGGGTGATGAATTGACGTCGCCATTCTCTCCTCCCCTTCCTCTATGCTCCTGTTGCACTTCCATTTCCCCTTCTCGCTCCAAGCCCCTTCATCGTTTGGCCGGTGGTTCAATCGGCTTCGCCCTGACCTTCAACACATTCTGCATCTCGAAGAATGCCCATTTCTTAGCAGTCTTTGCCGATGCATCAAACAGAATCCTCCCCAATTTTGCACAAACATGGCAGACCAGTGTTTTTATAGCGGACCGCGAACTCACACCTTTCCCCGCACCTGTGTTTAGCGTCAACCGCTCAAACAACTCCTTCTACAATGACTTGGCCAACCACAACTCGGAACATGACTTGGCCTTATCCACTGTCATAGTACCCACTTGTGCCTCCACAAAGTCCTTCACAAACAGCCATGTCAATGCTCGACCTTTATGCTGAACGTCCATCTTGTGGTTGATACCTGTACCAACTGATTCCTCCTTGAATGACCCTCCATCGTCACTTATGACCCTAGTCACGTTGAACCTCACTCTTTCAATTTCTCCAAGCCAAGCTTGAATGCAAACCCTTCTAATGCAATCGATGACTTTCCCTCCTCATTTTTAAATACCGTGATAATCAACAAAATCTTCCGTGATCGTGGATCCATGAAAGTGACAGTGCACCACTGTGCCTCCCTTGCCTGTGTCCAACGCCCATCCACGCAAATGTACCCATCTCTCTCTTTGCGCAGCTACATGTCTAGTCGGGCTCTAGCCATGCTCTCTTCCCCATGGACGATGACAGCCTCCCACAAACCGTACGGTCGTCGCATGTAACGATAGAAGGTCTCTCTCCCAGTAGACTTCAGCACAAGTAACCGACTAACTTCCGACAGCTGCTAGAAGCCTATTCCCACCATAACAATGCCCCCAAGAACCGCGGAAACAGAAAGGAGGTCTTTGGGCCCTGTTTGCCTAAACCTCTGGTAAATTTCCCCCCTTCAATAGACCAAACCTGTATAGCCTTGCCACATGTATCACAGACCCACAAAACCCCCAACGTCGCCCACGGCATCTTGCACGATCGCCCGACCCTTACACGCAGTCACCTGACAGCAGACCACTCCCAAACTCGTGAAGAAATGTAGCAATACAATGGGGTCTAACAGACATACCGCCCCTTTGAGGCTATTTGCGGCAGCATTGGCCGACAAATGCCAGGAGCAAGCGAGAGCCCTTGGGAAGGGTGCTCCAGGACGTCCCGCTGTTAAGCTGTAATGGGGAAAGGGAGTGTAAATACGGAAGAATGATGGTCAGTGTTGAATCGTTCAGGCCTTTTTTATTGAGTGTTTAGACAAGGAATGATGTTGTTAGAATTATACCCAAACAAGCTATGGAAGCTTTTGAACGAGGCCACACACCCAACGAATCTACAAAATAACACATACTCATCAAGATGGGCCCGGATTGCAGCAGTAGAGGCAGTTGCCCCATCGCTCGGGCGCTCGGGGTCGCATGCCCTTCCAGCTCCATCCCCCTTGTCTTGTTCATCATCAATGTGACCATCCCCCTCTCCCAAGTCTCTCCCCTCTTCCACATGCCCCACATCGTCCACCGAGGAAAACTCCTCCATGACTGTCTCACATCCCACGGGTGGCAAATCCATAACGGGTGATCCTCCGTTCCCACTCGCATCGTGCTCTCCTCTTGTGGCTGCTACTTAATGTACATATGTGGCATATGGGTATATCGGAACACAAACATAATTAGATATAGGTGAATCCTTTACAAACAGGGTGGATTGCGTGATGTGAGCCCCACAAAATGGATAAGACCAGTCGCGTGTCATTCGACCAGGGCAAATGGGTGCAGGGAGACGTGCGACAACTTGAAAAAAACTTCGCGTGTGACAGTATGCCAGATCGACATTTCACCTAGTGGTATATAAAATACACACTGACATGGACACACCAGCATCGTGTAGTGCTTGATATGCCGGTCCGCGAGGTCACCTACATGGCTATGTCCCTTATCCGGCACAAGCACACCCTCCTCGTTGGGATGGTATGTATCGAACTCATAAACGAAACCGTCCAATGGTAGCAGCTTCCTCTAGAGTAGTTGTGTGTCATCAGCCTTTTCCCTCGGTTGGCTCATGAGGAAGCTTGCTCGTTGTGCTTCTAATTGTAACTTTGCATGTGCTTTCCCCATGGCGCCATTCCCACCTACCATAAACATCGTGATTTGGGTATGTTAGCTGGGTGTTTGCAAGTGAGAATGTACAACTTATTGGTGCACCATTGTAACAAGGTGACACTTACAAGTATCAGTTGCTGCATTTATAAGCTTCACAACGACATCGACGGCCGACACCATGAGGACGTGCAGCACGTCGTTAAACGATGCATCTCTCCCCATCAGTGCCGATAAATCGCACTGCATAATGGTTACGGGTAGGACGGTGTGTTTCCCCAGCCCCAGTGGCCTTTGCTTAACAACCCCCATAATGTTTTGAAGCTCCTGCTGCAAAATCTCCTCCTTGTTCTTGGATCGCCTGCCATTACGACCACATGTCAATTTTACATGCTAGTATTTGGTTATTGTGCTACACGCAGCCTCACACAACCCGGACCACTCACCTTGGTGCCATTAGGACCCCTTGCCCAAATGTTTGTTAAACAAGAGTCCACAACCGGGATGGCGTTGTGGTGTATGGCCTGCTGGGATCTTGACGGGTTGCAAAGCTACAATAAAATAACATGCGCGTTAGGTTGTGCCATCTCTCACAACAAAAGTCACTGCCTTTCGATGTACCTCATAACCCCCCGCTGACTATACCTATCTTCTGCCTCTAACGTCACTTCAACCCCCCTCATCGCACCTTCCCTTCACAATCTCTGACCTTACCTCCCTTCCCCCTCTCCAAGCACCACTCTTCCCCCTCTTGCATCCTTGCCTTCCCCCCTGCCAGCACCTCCCTTCCCGCCTCCCTTCCCCCTTTGTCAGCCCCTCCTTACCGTGTCTCATTGCACCTACCATACCCCCTCCGACATCGCCTCTTTTCCCCCTCCCCTCATCTCCCTTCCTCCTATGACCCCCCCACCCTTTCCCCTCCCTCCTTTCCCCCTCACTTGACACCTCACTTCCCCTCTTTGACCTCTCCCTAAACCATTCCCCCTCCCTTCACCACCCATCCTCACACATGCTACTAAACAAACAAGATGCGAGGAAACACGGAAAAGTGGAGCAAGTGACCAAGAATACAATGGATAGGAAGCATTCTGATGGTGATGGCAGCGGGGTGGACAGGAGGATTGATGATGGCAGGGGGAGAAAGAGGGGCATTGATGAGGAAGATAACATGGATGGTATGTATGGAGGACCATGGAGATGCATAGGGCAGAGTGATGCATTTGCTATGCTCAGGTTTTGTTAGAGGTGTACGAGGAAGTTTAGGGGCCAATGAATGAGATAACATAATGCAGGTCCTCTAAAGAGAAGGGTTGGGCAGGTCATGCCAATAGAACGCAGAGAGTAGCACTTGCCAACTATAGGAGTCAACTAATCTGAAGAACCATGAACTTACTTACCCAAAAATGGTATACTTCAAAGCAAGCCCAGCTGTTACGGAATCATTCAGGGGGTTGACTTTGAAAGAGAGCACCTACCGCACAAAGGAGAAAGGGAGAGAGGGGGGAAAGTGGGCAGGGGCAGGTATCAAGCAACACCATACGCATCTTAAGTGATAAGGATTATGCCGTCACGTATGTACCTAACCATCTAGAGCATCACTCTATTGTAACACATCCAATGTACACTGCATCAGGGGTTGACTAGTACTAGAGACTTTGTAGAGGAGGGTTGAACAGGATATAAATGAATAGGGCTCAAAGTTTACACAGTGCAGGGACGGATGAAACATGCACATCCAAAAATGGAGGTGAGAGAAACGGGGGAGGGGTTGCAGGAGAATGCGTTTACCTCTTTCCCTCGTGCCAACACCTCCTTTCCCATCTCACAGCACCTCCTTTCCCCATCTCATGGCACCTCCCTTCACCCCTCTCACGGCACCTCCCTTCACCCCTCTCACGGCACCTCCCTTCACCCCTCTCACGGCACCTCCCTTCACCCTCCCTAAGCACCTTTCTCCTTGCCATCCGACCTCATCTCCCTTCCCTATCCCTAAGGATCATCGTACCCCTCTGACCTCAACTCCGTTCCCCCTCTCACCACACCTCATTGCCCCCTCTGACCTCACTTCCCTTCCCCCGCCATAAGCACACATCTTCCTCCTATCACATCAGCTCTTTCCCCCCTGCCAGCACCTCCCTTCCTGCCTCCCTTCCCCCACTGACACCGCCTATTTCCTCACGGCCAGCACCTCCCTTCCCCCTCTTGCAGCAACTCCCTTCAACCTCTCTCGGCACCTCCCTTCCCCCTCTCATAGCACCTCCTTTCCCCCTCTGAAAGCACCTCCCTTCCCCCTCTCTCAGCACTCCCTCCCCCCTCTCACAGCACCTCCAATCCCCCTCTCACAGCACCTCCTTTCCCCCTCTCTCACCACCTCCCTTCCCCCTCTCACAGCCCTCCCTTCCCCCTCTCGCAGCACCTCCCTCCCCCCTCTGACCTTACCTCCCTTTCCCCTCCCTAAGCACCTCTCTCCCCCCTCCCACATCGTTGCCTTCCCCCCTGCCAGCACCTCCCTTCCTGCCTCCATTCCCCCACCGACACCGCCTATTTCCTCACGGGCAGCACCTCCCTTCCCCCTCTCACAGCAACTCCTTTCCCCCTCTCTCAGCACCTCGCTTCCCCCTCTGTCCTCACCTCCCTCCCCCCTCTCACAGTAACTCCCCCCTCTCACAGCAACTCCCTTCCCCCTCTCACATCACCTCCCTTCCCCCTCTCGCAGCACCTCCCTTCAAACCCTCACAGCACGTCCCTTCACACCTTGACCTCACGCGCCCTTCCCCATCTGTCTGACATTTGCTCCCTCGCTCTGCTGACATAACCTCCCTGCTCACCTCCCTCCCCCTTCTCGCAGCACCTCCCTTCCCCATCTCACCTCACCTCCCAACCACCTCTGACCTCACCTCCCTTTCCCCTCCCTAAGCACCTCTCTTCCCCCTCTCACATCATCCATTTCCCCCCTGCCAGCCCCTCTCTCCCTTCTATCTAAGAACCTCTCTTCCTCCTCCGAAATCACGTTCCTTTCCTCCTCCCCTCACCTACCTTCACTGTCTGACCTCTCCTCCCTTCCCCTTCCCTAAGCATCTCTTTTCCCCCTCTCACATCACCTCTGTTTCCCTAATCACAACACATCCCCTCCCCCTCTGACCTCACCTCCCTCCCCCCTCCCATGACACCACCTCTCACCCTATCATGGCACCTCCATTCCCCCGTCTGACCTGACATCCCTTCCCCCTTCCCTCTCATTCCACCATCCACCTTCATTTCGCCTCTCATGGCGCTATTAACCTCCATTTCGCCTCTCATTCCGCCATTTACCTCCATTTCGCCTCTCATTCCGCCATTTACCTCCATTTCGCCTCTCATTCCGCCATTTACCTCCATTTCGCCTCTCATTCCGACAACTACCACCATTAAGCGTCTCATTCCGCCCACCATTTCGCCTCTCTTTTCGCCATCTACCACCATTCCGCCACCAATTCCGCAATCTGCCTAACATTCCGCCACTTCCACCATCTACCGCCATTACGCCACTAGTTCTGCCATCTATACCCATAACGTCTATCATTCCGCCATCTACGGCCATACCGTCATGCTCGTCCCTGTCGGAATTATCCCGCAAATCCGTCGAGCTCACCTACTAAACGGAGGGGAGGAGTGCGAGGCAAGGAGGATATTGGCAGCTCCGCGACGGCAGTGGATAACAAGAATTGGCCTTGCTGGCTTTCTAGATTGTGACGTGTGCGGACTGTGGAATCACGGTGCGGAATGTAGACGAAGTGTTGGGGAAGGTGTCTCAAGGGAGTAGGTTGTCTATGGCCATAATGAGGTTCTTACCGAAGGGCATAATGTGGCTGACCTATGAGGACCTTTTTCCCGAAGATGTACTCTAGGACATGTGATCGTGAAGCGTAAAACACTTGAACTGGTGCAGGAACTACGCTCCTTGTGGGAGTGGTAGAGTTGTATGTCTCATACTTTTGACCCCTGTAAAATGATTGGCGTGTCAGAACATTATAGCTTATGCTGTTGTGTAGGCTATAGTGGGGTATCCCATAGGGGGTACAACCAATTAGGGTTTCATATTTGTACTCACTTCATTTCATAGTTCATTCATTCTTGTTCAAATTTTCTCATGGTATCGAGCAGGTTCCCCCTTGGGAACTGTGCTTAGGGCCCACCACATCGATTTTTTTTTCTTGCCCGAAGCGCGCTCAGCCCGAGTCGCGCTCCGGGCCCTCACTTCGTCGAGCCGCCCTAGCGGCCCTGCACTGCGGCCCCGCCACCCGTCTTCGCGGCCCCGCCGCCTCTCTCCTAGCGGCCCCGCCGCCCTACCTAGCGGCCCCGCCGCCCTACCTCGCGGCCTCGCCGCCCCATTGCGCGGCCCCGCCGCCCTACCTAGCGGCCCCGCCGCCCCATCGCGGCCCCTCCGCCCCATCGCGCGGCCCCGCCGCCCTATCTAGCGGCCCCGCCGCCCTACCTAGCGGCCCCGCCGCCCCATCGCGCGGCCCCGCCGCCCCATCGCGCGGCCCCGCCGCCCCATCGCGCGGCCCCGCCGCCCTTCCTCGCGGCCCCGCCACCCCATCGCGCGGCCCCGCCGCCCCATCGCGCGGCCCCGCCGCCCCATCGCGCGGCCCCGCCGCCCTACCTAGCGGCCCCGCCGCCCTTCCTAGCGGCCCCGCCACCTTACCTGCGGCCCCGCCCTTACCTGCGGCCCCGCCGCCCTCTGCTGCGGCCCCGCCACCTTACCTGCGGCCCCGCCACCTTACCTGCGGCCCCGCCACCCTCTGCTGCGGCCCCGCCACCCTATCTGCGGCCACGCCGCCCTTACCAGCGGCCCCGCCGCCCTTACCTGCGGCCCCGTGCCCTGCAGCAGCACAGCCGAGCTGCCCAGCAGCCGAGCCGCCGAGCCGCCCAGCAGCCGAGCCGCCCAGCAGCCGAGCTGCCGAGCCGCCCAGCAGCCGAGCTGCCCAGCAGCCGAGCCGCCCAGCAGCCGAGCCGCCCAGCGGCCGGGCCGCCCAGCAGCTGAGCCGCCGAGCCGCCGCGCCGCCCTCCTTCAGGGCCGCCCGACCTGCCCAGTCTGGTGAGCACAGCGCCTTTTCACTGCACTGTCCTCACCCCACTGTTTGCGCTGCTAGTCGTCTAGGGTCATGGCTACCCCTAGTGTTCTCGCCTTTGACGCTGAGGGTAGGGCCATTGACTTTGAGGTCTGGGTAGATGACCTGCAGCTGTTCTTACAGTGCGATAGGGCAGACGACCTCTCTCTTTGACCTCACCTCTGGCACCTCCACTGCCCCCGCTGCTGATGCTGACGCCACTGTTCGCTCCCAGTGGGCCACGCGCGACGCTGCTGCACGTCTTGCTGTGCGTCGCCACCTCCCTACCTCCGAGCGTGCGCACTTTAGTCAGTACAAGAGTGCTCAGACCTTGTACGACGCTGTAGTGGCGCGCTACTCCTCCCCTGCCACTGCTGCACTGAGCCGTCTCATGCTACCGTACCTCTTTCCTGATCTTACTGCCTTTCCCACAGTCACTGACCTCATTACGCACCTCCGCACTAGTGACACTCGCTACCGCGCTGCACTCCCTCCTGACTTCTGCGCCAGGAACCCCCCCCCCATGTACATCACTCTTTACTACATAGTCACTCGCCTTCCTGACTCCCTTCGCGTAGTCAGGGACCACTTTCTCTCTGTCTGTCCCACCACTCTCACTGTTGACCTCCTCGAGAAGTCCCTCCTAGCGGCCGAGAAGAGCATAGTCGCTGTAGGGGCCTCTCGTGGTGACCCGCGCACCCCCATCTTTGAGGGGTGTTCCCCCTCCCCCCTTCTGCCCTCTGTTGCCTCTGCTGCTGCGGCCGACCTCCTTGTTCTTGAGTCGGTCGGTACGGCGTCTGCCCCTAGCGGGAGACGCCGCTCTGGCAAGGGCAAGGGGGGCAAGGGCGCTGGAGGAGCGAGCGGGGGCGGTGGAGGTGGAGGTGGCGGCAGTTGGGGGAGTGGGGGTGGCGGTGGGAGTGGAGGTGGGGGTGGAGGGGTCGGTGGCGGCAGTGGAGGTGGAGGTGGCGGCGGCGGTGGCGGTGGGAGCGGAGGTGGTGGAGGTGGCGGAGGTGGAGGCGGCGGCGGAGGCGGAGGCGGCGGCAGTGGCGGAGGCGGCGGAGGCGTCGGAGGCGGCGGGGGTGGCGGTGGTGCTGGTCGCGGGTCTTCGCAGAGGAGTGGCTCCGGTGGTGGCTCGCGCCAGCAGCAGCAGCGTGGTCGTGACACCCTGTCCCCTCAGCAGCTTCGTGAGTGGTACACTGCGCGTCAGCGGGGTGGGGGTTTTGGTCCGTGCTCCTACGTTTTGCGCACTGGCGACCGTGCGGGTGAGCAGTGTGGGGGTCCCCACCCCACCCAGCGCTGCTTTGGCCGCCTGACGGACGCGTGGCATCACCAGTTCCCGGAGGCCTCCGAGATCCCTCGCTGGGGCGAGCTGTCTAGGGCGGGTGTTGCCATCTATGATCTTGACTTTGATGCTATTCTCTCTGCCATGTATGCTGTGTCTATTAGTGATGAGGGTGACTGTTACCGGTGTTTCCCGCCCGATCCGGGCATTGAGACTGCTGCTCTAGGTCCTGGTGAGGCTGCTGCCCTAGGTGCTTGCGACGCTGCTGCTCCAGGTGCTCGTGTGTCTGCGTCCTCAGGTACTGGTGAGTCTGCGCTCTCAGGTACTGCGTCGGCTTCGGCCTCCCTCACCTTCACCCTTGACTCTGGGGCGTCTCGCTCCTTCTTTCGGGACCGCACCACACTCACACCGCTGAGTCGACCGGTTGCAGTGTCTCTGGCTGACCCCTCTGGGGGTCCTGTCCTGTCTCGCTTCTCCACAGTCCTCCCGTGTCCGGCGGCTCCCTCTGGCACCCTGTCTGGTCTCTACCTCCCCTCGTTCTCTACGAACCTGGTGAGTGGTGCTGACCTACAGGATGCGGGGGTCCACCAGTTCACTCCTGCACGTCAGAGAGTGACCCACTGTACAGAGGCTGGCACAGGCCGACACCTGGCTACGTTCACCCGTCAGCCGGGGTCGAGCCTGTACACTCTGACCACTGCGTCTCCTCCAGTTGCTGAGTCTGGTAGGGTAGTTACGTCGGGTCAGGTGTTTGCTGCGGCGTCCAGGTCTGGTCCTGAGTCTGCCCCCTGTTCGTGTCGTCTCCTGTCTCACGAGACTCTCCTCTGGCACCACCGCCTTGGCCACCCCTCTCTGCTTCGGCTCAGAGGTATGGCCTCCCGTCTTCTTGTGTCCGGTCTCCCCCGGTCCCTCCCTCCCCTTCCTCAGGGCCCTGGCCCTGCCTGTGTCCCCTGTGTCGAGGGGCGCCTGCGTGCTGCCCCTCACTCCTCCCAGTTTCCTCCGACAGAGGCCCCGTTGCAGACACTTCACATGGACGTGTGGGGCCCAGCCCGCGTCCGTGGACAGGGTCACGAGCGCTACTTCCTGCTCGTTGTTGACGACTACTCGCGTTACACCACAGTCTTCCCCTTGCGCAGCAAGGGTGATGTCACTGAGGTGCTGATCGACTGGATCCGCGCAGCTCGTCTCCAGCTCAGGCAGAGCTTCGGCTCGGACTTTCCTGTTCTGCGTCTGCACTCGGACAGAGGCGGAGAGTTCTCCTCTGGCCTTCTGCGTGCCTACTGTCGTGCACGGGGCATCCGTCAGAACTTCACGCTTCCGGACTCACCGCAGCAAAATGGGATTGCTGAGCGCCGCATTGGCATGGTCATGGACGTCGCTCGTACGTCTATGATGCATGCGGCTGCCCCCCATTTACTGTGGCCGTTTGCGGTGAGGTACGCGGCGCATCAGATCAACCTCCACCCCAGGGTCTCCAGGCCGGAGACCTCCCTAGCCTTGCTGTGGACGGGGAAGGTTGGCGATGCGTCGGCGTTCCGGGTCTGGGGATCTCGGGCGTTTGTCCGCGACCTGTCTGCGGACAAACTATCCCCTCGTGCTGCTCCTTGCGTCTTCCTGGGGTTCCCCCCTGACGCGCCTGGGTGGCAGTTTTACCACCCCACCTCTCGCCGTGTTCTGTCCTCCCAGGACGTCACGTTTGACG